CCTATATATTATTACTATAGCCACGTGACTTATAGGGACTAGCAATATAACGCCATAGCAATAAATTATAAAATCCTTTTTTATTATTATAATTTAATATAAAATAAATATTAATTTTAGGCAAAAATACAATGGCAACCTGTCACCACAGCGACACTATATAATCAGCTAATTATTTTTGAGATCGCTGATCATATATAAACAATTAATAATCACTTTTGTTTTTTTGTTTTTTTTGCTTCGCTTAACTTCAGAATCAGGTACGTGCTTTTCGTTATTTTATTTTAGCTATTTTTTTATTTTTTTTTGGCTCGCTTTTTTATTAATTTCACCTTTTCTTTAATATCTTTGCTTTTATTTTTTTTTTTATTTTTTTTTATTTTTTTTTTTTTACTTTTATTATTCTTTTCCTATACTTTTTTCCTGCTTTATTTTCTTTCCTTCTTTCTACTTTATTACTTTTTTTTTTACTTTTTTCTTCTTTCTCTGTTCTATTTTTTTTCTGCTTTCTTTTTCTTCTTTTCCTGCTTCTTTTTTTCTTTTCCTTTTACTTCCTTTTTTTCTATTTTCCATTTTTTTATTTCTTTTATTTCTTTTTCTTGCTTTTTCTTGTTGCTCTTTTTTTTTATCTTTCTTTTTTTCTATTTTTTTCTTCTTTCTACTTTAATTCTTCTTTCCTGCTTTCTTCTTTTTTTTCTTTTTCTGCTTCTGTTTTTTTTCTTTTCTTTTCATTTTTTTTTTTTCATTTTCTATTCTTTTTTTTCTATTTTCGTCCTTTTCTTTTTCTTTGTTCCCTTTCTCTTTCTTTTTTTTTTACTTTATCTTTCTTTTTTTGGAGAGGTTTTCTTCTTTGTCCGCTTAATTCTTTTATTCTTTCCTGTTTTTTTCTTTTCTTCTTTTCCTGCTTCTTTTTTTTCTTTTCTTTTCATTTTCTTTTTTCCATTTTCTATCCTTTTCTTTTTTTCTACTTTCGTCTTTTTTTTTTCTTGTTTTCCTTTTTCTTTTTTTTTTTTTGTTTTTT